AACAAATGTTTTTTCTCATTGTCACTTTGTGAATTATCTCCCTTTTCTACTCTCTCAGTACTCTGAATATATATTTATATATACACCTATCCATTATGTGACCACTTCATGCATCTGAGCAACTGCAGCCCAAGGCTTTTTGCTGCAACAAACACACACAACAATAAAAAGCAATTATAACCTTCATGCTTTGATACCAAAGGAAACGTGGAAATGGAAAAAGGCATGTGGGGTTTCATTTCCAAAGGTCTTAACATTCCAGAAGCACAGCTTGTGTTCTAACACCCTAACACCAAACACTTTCAGAAGCCCAATTGATTCCAGCGTGATTTATTTTGAAAAAAGTGGACTTAGTTTTTCTGCCTATCTGCCCAAGCCTAAGTATTTTTTTTACTTGGAAATAAGTCACATAAAGTTTAGTGGGAGCTACTTCCTTATCACCATGTGTATCTGGTTAAAAGCCTAATCATTAAATCCCCAGTATATGGGATCCAATCCAGACTATGGAGGATAGGTTCTCATATCACATTCAGTAACAAGTCACAATTTGTAAAATGTAACATGAGCACTGAACTGAGGCATACACCCACACCTCAAAATATACATTACATGCAAATATGCACATTGGTAGCTAACAACCTGTTTAGATGAGAAACCATTTCCCTACCTATAATTTCTATGTCCCCAAAGTTGCTTTCCCCATGGAGTTCCCCCTGCATTTTCCAAACTAAACAGGCTTTTTATCATTTGTGTGTTCACATGTAATCTGAGTCTAAGAGAAGATCCAAAATAAGGAGCAGTTTCACAGTTCATACACAGCCATTATTACATAAAAACAGCATGTGTGCTCAGATAAAAGTATAACTTTTGAGAGAGCAGCTATCAGTGTGGTATCAGTGTGGAAATTCAAGAATGAGGGAGGTGTTAAAATTCATTCTAGGCAGCTTAAAAAATCCTCTAAAATAGACAATATTCATCTCATCCAAATCTGGTTTGTAAAAGGAGGCATTCCTAACAAAGTGAAGCATTTTGCTTTCATTTGCCTGATATCCATGAACAGTTCTGTGCAGATACAGGCACTGTTTATGGTGAAGACTGAGTGCAACCACACTGGCACTGATAAAGAGATACATTTAAACACTAAACAGTAAAGCTTTCAATAAAAGAGGCCTTTGTAAATTATGTATATTTTAACTCACATAATAAATCCCATTCTGTTTAGCTAGTCTGGGGTGTCAAATGTGACATTTGTTTGATAAAATGTGGATACTTCTCAAACACAGCACCTTCAAATTAAAATTAAAGCAAGTATTGTGATGCTTAAACCCCAGCTTGCTTCAGGTATCTAAAGGGCTCCCTTCCCAATTCTCTAGTGGTGTTCATTGTGGCGCTGATACTATAGACAACTGTTTGGATCTAGATGAAAGTTAATTGATTTTTCTGGGCACTGCCACCTGGCAGAGTCATCTCATTTCCTGATTTAAGGCAAAATATTATGCACACCTCAGATAATGTGAATGTGTTCATCTAATAAAAGGAACAAAGAAGAAGGCAGGACAAGGGGAAACCCTCATAAGGGATCATTTCCAATATTTTACTTTGATGGTACCAAATGTTAAAGACTGTTCAAAACCCAAAGGAGATGCTCATGCAATTAATTCATTTATCCAAACAAGTGTTTCCTTGTTAGGACAAAAAAGGCATTTAGTCAACTATTCATACCACTGATGTGAATGGGACAATTGGATTTTCAATAAACCATTAACAAAAACAATACTCATTTCAGCTGCAGCTTGCAATTCATGGCTGAGTTGCATTTAAATGTTAGTGCAGGTCTGAATTCATGGGAACACAAAGAAAAACAATTCCCTGTAATATATTAAACTAAAAAAAGAAAAGACACAATAAAAAAATAATTTTCTCTCTTGTAGCCTGAAAACACTTAGCATTAAATGATACAACTCAGTAATCTGTTAAGGATTCTAAAGATGGCATGCCTTAATACATATTCAAATTTTCTGGTTACTTTATTAAATGAGTCTGTTGAGATAACATTCCATTGGCAATACTAATTTTCTGTATTTGTAAATGTTTTATGTTTAAACCATAGGGGAATTTGACACTGCCGTATCTGTTTGAGCATGATAGCAAAACTGTATCCTTCACTTCCTTTCCCTTCCTTGGACAGGCAAGACATTTCACAGCAAGGTAAAGGTAATTAGAATTTATAGGTCATGAAAATAAATGTCACAGAGATTGTATTCACAGCATTTTCCTGGATACGTCTCAAACTGCAATCCTATACACATGGATTATGAACCACTGAATTCAATGGAACTTACTTCTGAGCAGATTCAGTATTCTGCTGTCAGATACTTTTCCTCAGCTGCACCAATACACATGCAAGCAATGTTCAAATATATAAACATTTCACGTGTAGTGATTTGCATTAGTTCCACATAATCTGTAGCAGCATTAATTAATAGAGTGCATAGTGCTTCTACATCTGTTAGCCATTAGTCTTTACTCTAATTTATTAAATCCTTATAATTTACTTCAACCAGTCACAAGGACAGGCAATGAATGAGTGATTGGATCAGGATGTCAAAATAGTAGATGGCAAATAATTTTTTATTTTTTTAAAAAAAGAATTGTTGACAAAATAACTTTTGACAAATTAACTTGTACTGTGTTTTGCTGGCTGAGATAATGTGGGCCACCACTATTAACCCAGGTCTTAATATGTCACACTTGTCATTACGCCTTTGGTATGCCACAAATGCTCAGTGACATGGCTTTCGAGGAACACAGCAATTAGAATATTATGATCTAGTTCCACCTGAGTAAATTTAAACAATAGTAAAACATTGTGATTGTTTTTAATGTAGTAACTTTAGCTAAATACTGTATGTAGGACTGAAATAACTTCCAACTTTATTTACCGTATTTCTCCGTGTATAACATGCCCCCGTGTATAACACGACCCCTATTTGGGGGGACTCAAATTTAAGAAAATGGGGGGAGATGGCCCAGAGTTGTTGAGCTTTTTTCAGGGGAGGATGCTGAAAATCACTAACCCGACTGACATGCACTGACAATCGCTCCTGTTGCCTAAGCCAACAGCAGCAGGCAATCACACACCCAGTTGCTGCAGCTGCAGCCAATCCAAAGCAGCCCTTGCAGCAGCCACAAATCACCGCTGACAACCTCCTGCTTGTGGCTGCAACCAATCACCCGTCTGTCCCACCCCCCATGCACTATCCATGTATAAGACGACCCCTGTTTTTTAACATTAGTTTAGAGTAAAAAAACAACCCTCATCTTATACATGGGAAAGTACGGTATATTTCTCTCATTTATATGCAATATAAAAATCCAAATCTCTCCCCACTAACCACTGGCAGGACTTTACAGGGTGGCAAGGCCACCACCACATCTGCAGCCTTCCTGTTCATGGTGGCTAGAGTAGAAAGTGGGAAGAGAGTAATACTGCCAGGCCAGCCTGGAGCTGGCACAGCGATAAGGCACCATGCAATCTCATTAAAGCAGTGAGACTTGCTTGAGATACAACAGATCTGAATCCACTGCAGCCCCACCTCATCCCTGGGAGGCCGTGATCCACAGCTTCCTTCTGGCTACCAATGGCAGGCATCTTGTCTCAGTGCTTCTGCCTGCACGTTGGGTGGGTGGAAGTGAGAGGCCAGCCACCAGCTTAGGCACCTCCATTCACTTCAACATTTTAAACAGAAACATTCACAAGATGTTAAAATCCCCAAACTATACTTGCAATATAAACTATATAGTGTTCAATTATATTCTAGTATCTGGGGGGAAAAGAAGTGACTGCTACCAGCTTACAATGATGGTTTACACCCCCCAACAAGTAGGAGCATTTCATCTGGAACTATAGAAAAGAAATGCTAGCTTCCACAGCTGTTTATGAAAGTATCTGTGGCATGTCCCCTCTTCCTGAACACTTGGAAGATGTTCAGAATTTTAATCAGACATACAATGCATTTGTCTTCAAACTAAAAGTGGAAGTAATCATTCCTTCTACAAGTTAACTTGGGTTAGTCAAGGGAATGTCAGTCTGGATGTGAAATGGGACAACTCAAAAGGAAGGCAGTGGGGTCTTGAGGTATGCAGGAGTATATAAGTTTGTAAAATCAAAAGTTTGTAAGTTTGTAAATCACAAGAAAAGCAACATTTTATTTATTTTTTTAGCCTCATCTCCCAACAAGTAAATTGTTAACAATCTCACCTGACTGTTTTCCTGTTAAGCAAAAATGTTTAAAAGCACTTTGCACAGTAATAGTGCAAGGGAAAAGACTGTTGTTCTTGATAATCATAAAAACAGCAGCAGCAACCTAGCTGAAAATGTATTAGATTGTAACCACAAACATAAAACAAGTAGATAGTGAGCTCGTTTACTCCCAAGTAAGCATGCTTAGGCTAAGATTACATGTTTGGGCAGCAATTCTCACCTCTCACTCTAGCAACCTCATCCTGCATAATGGTGGGGCCAGCACTGTTGCAGCTTAACAATGGCATTGGTTAATAACATCTGAACAAATACTTTGATATACAAATAGTTTGAATATCTAGGGCTACCCACTTATCTGGGCATATATCCCAAGGAACATAGTGGGATTTCTGTCCAAGCTACATTTCAGAGTACAAAGTATTGAACAAGTTCCCTTTGTTGCTTGAAGTTACTTTACCAGAAAACCACATACAATTAGAAAAGACACCCTCTAGCTTCCCTTCCCCCTCCTAAACAATAATAAGAGCATTCCAGGAATACTCCAGATAATTTTCTGTCTAAATGAGGATTACTGCACTCTTGGGATTTTTATTTCTCTTAATTCCACTGAGTGCTCCACGGCTATTTCAGTATTAAGGAGTCATAGTTCTACCAACCCAGTTCCCCCACAGTCACAGTCAACAGCTCTAGTTACAGGTAGGTAGCTGTAGTCAAAATAATAATAATAATAAAAATCCTTCCAGTAGCACCTTAGAGACCAAATAAGTTTGTTATTGGCATGAGCTTTCATGTGCATTCACACTTCTGAAGAATCTGAAGAAGTGTGCATGCACACGAAAGCTCATACCAATAACAAACTTAGTTGGTCTCTAAGGTGCTACTGGAAGGACAGTCAACAGCTGACAGCTTGCAGCTGACATAATAATATATCTGCTTTGGGTTCAAAGGGTGGGACTGTGTTTTGTACGTCAGGTGCATAATAGAATTAAGTATCACAGACTCTATAGAGATCGGCCTGCATAAGGGAATGAGCTCCCCTCCTCCTCCTCAAGAGGCTTTCCCTAGGATTGGGGAAACTGACTGAATTGGGGTGGATGTGGTAACAGGGGTTGATGGGAAAGGAGAGACTGTAGAAAATTGGATGTAAGCACCCTCTGCAAGCCAAGCTCTAGCTCATGGAAAGAGTCTCCACCTGATTTCCTGTGTTCAGCACAGCCCCTTGAACCCCTGGAGATGTTGGTTTCTGCTTTCCTTCACTGTGCAGCTCTGCTTGTCACGAGACAGGTGTTTACATTCCACAGTCTGTACTGTTGGAGTTTCTCACGGGAAAGGGAGACTGGATGTGACGTACACTGGTTTCCTGTTTTTCACTGTGTGATTCTCTCCGAGCTGTCGAGGAGAGAGGATGCATTTTCTGCTCCGGCAGAGGCAAGATGTCTTTCTGTAATATACCAGCTTTGAACTGTAAATAAAAGCAATATAGAGTATGCAGCACATTTTCCTCATCCTTCCGCTGGGCACGAGACTCTGCTTAAATCAACACGTGGTTATGGGCTCCAGAGGTCGAATCGGAGTGCCGGCAAAGGATCGGAATGCAGAGGGACAGATCGGAACGGAATCTGCTCTGCGCGTAGAGGTGATTGATGAGGTATGTGCTACTGCTCCGGGCAGCCTGCCAGCTTCAAGTTAATGGCTTTATGGCTGGACTTTGAACTTTTAAAGCCGGTTTTGCCGGGAATAGGCAAAGGCTCCCAGGCACAAGTCACTATGCTGGGGAAATCGAAAGTAACTTTTAAGTGTGCCTTTGTAATAAAGCAGCTGCAGCAGTGACGCAGCAAGATTTAAAGCAGCATATGACGCTGAAGGCTAATGCCAGAGTCATGATGGCCCTTCAGGATGCTTGTGGGATTCCTAAGCTCAACAAGAAAAATTACAGCGACTGGGTTCTGTATGCAGAGGCAATTCTGCGGAAAGAGGGTTTGTTTGAGGTGATTACAGGAACCCCCAGTTCCAGTTACAGATGCATGGGAAGCTAAGGATTCCAAAGCAAGGGGAACTCTTACATTGATAGTATCCCCAGAAGAGCTCTGTCTATTGCGTGATAAGACCTCAGCCAGAGAAATTTGGGACGCTCTGAAAGAGGCTCACTTAAGGACAGAAGCTGGATCCACTATGTTTTACTTTAACAAGCTGCATAATATGGCTCTTGCTGAAGGTGGAGATGTGCGTTTACATCTGATGGAGATGCAAAATCTGAGACATGAGCTGCAACAGAGAGGACTCAACTTTCCAGAGGCTGTGTATTCTTTCATGATACTACAATCTTTGGGTTCAGGTTGGGAGTCTGTTGCAACCCAGATTGCTGTGCAACCAACTGCTCAGCTGACAGTGGACTTTGTTACTGCCGTGATTTTAAATGAAGCAGATCGCCGGGGTGCTAGCTGCATGGGCAAGGGGGAGTCTTCACAGACGTCATCCCATAGTGCAGTGGAACCACCAGATGGCGCCAAAGCTTTGAAGGCAGTGAAATGCTACTCGTGTGGACGTCTAGGCCATATGAAGAGGGAATGCAGACATCCCAGGGCCAAGACAGAGCAGCGCAGCGAAAGCTCATCGCGCGGAACAGGCCGAGGCAAAGGCAAAGGTCCGGTGTCTAGGACAACGCAGCACAAGGCTATGGTTTCACGCTTCACTCCAAAGGTTGCAGAGGTCCAGAAGACGTCTAGATCTTTCTTCGTAGTTGATTCAGCGGCGACCCACCACATGTGCAACGATAAGAAACTGTTTGAGTCTTTTACACCGCAGGAAGGTGCGATTCACCAGGCGGATGACCACACTATTCCCAGTAAAGGCTACGGAACTGTTGTTCTTCACAGTTTGGACTTATCGATACAGAATGTGCTTTACGTGCCAGACGCCAAACATAATCTGCTCAGCGTTGGACAGCTGAATGAGCGGAACATTGACGTTTCCTTCAAGAACAAGAAGTGCATCATCACAAAGAAAAATGATTATGTATTGCATGCAGAATATGTTGATCATTTGTTTGTTTTGTATTATGATGATGTGGTGCAGGATGACACTTGTTGCATTGCAGGTTCTAACAAAAGTTTGCATGCAGAATGTATTCACGATTTTCATCGAAAATTTGGTCATTTGCATTTTGAGGCAGTATCTAAAATGCCTGCCTTGGTTGAAGGTATGACTATTAAACCCTGCAGGTACCACATGAAGTGCAAAGCATGCGCAGCAAACAAGGTGAAAATGGCTGCGAAAGGTAAGGTGTCTAGTAGGAAAGCTACAGAACCATACCAGGTTGTTCATGCTGATTTGGTTGGACCACTAGCGCCCTCTTTGGGTGGAAATAGATACTTCATGGTTCTCATTGATGCATTTTCTAGATATATTTTTGTGTACAATCTCAAGCAGAAATCGGAGGCTTTTCCTAGGTTCAAGGAATTCTGTGCTTGGTTGGAAAATGTGCATGGTAAGAAGATAAAGACTCTTTTCAGTGATCGCGGGGGAATTCACTTCTCAGCAGTTTGAAGCTTTTCTGACTGAGAAAGGAATTCAACACGATTTGTCTAGTCCTCGCTCGCCATGGCAGAATGGACTTGCGGAACGGGCAAATCAGACATTGCTTCAAGGGTTAAAAACCTTGCTGCATGATGCCAATCTTCCAGAGAGTTATTGGGCCGAATCTCTCTCGTGTTTTGTTTACAGTTACAATCGCAGGTTATCTTCAGCGATTGGTAGTACCCCCTATGAGAAGATGTTTGGCAAGAAGCCATACATCAAACACATGAAGATTTTTGGTTCTGACATGTGGGTTCGCTCACCACAAAACTCCAAGTTAGACAAGCGTGGATTGCATGGTATCTTTCTAGGTTATCAGAAAGGGTCTTACAGAATAATGATGACTGACTCTAAGACAATTAAGCTCACGAGAAGTGTCGAGTACAATGCAAAGTGGGGGAGAATGTGGGAATTTTCCAATGTTATCCTGATGACGGTGATGAGACTGAGGATAGTCAAAAGCAACCACAACAGCCCACACCCACTGATGAAGGTTCTGAGTCTGAATCTGAAACTGAATCGGGTGATTCAGAGGATTTCAAGAGTGCGAAAGCCTCTATGCGACCCTCTGAAAGCTCTGATCAAGAATTGGAGGAACCATTGTTCACAATAGGTCGTTTTTCTCCTAAGAAGGAAGAGGAGAGTGTTGAAGACTTAAGGCTAATTCGTAGGTCACAGAGAGCCACAAAAGGCAAACCTCCAAAGAGATTTGCTGATGAGTTTGCTAAGATAGCAGTAACAGCTGTTAAAAGCTCCAAGAAGGTATTTGAACCTTCAAATTTCCAAGAAATCCAGGGTTTGGATTCAAAGGAAGCTGAGCCATGGTTAAATGCCATGAAGGCTGAGCTTGATTCCTTAGAAAGGAACAAAACATGGGAGCTAGTTCCAGTAGTTCCAGGAATGAAACTGCTTGGAAGCAAATGGGTCTTCAAAGCGAAGACAGGTCAAAATGGCAAGATAGTCAGACACAAAGCCAGATTGGTAGCCAGAGGTTTTGCACAGGTACCAGGTGAAGACTATCACGAGACCTATTCACCCACAGTGAGATATGAAAGCATTAGGCTTATGCTTAAGCTAGCTGCAGAGGAAAATCTACACATTAGTCACCATGATATTAATACAGCTTTTCTGTACGGATCTCTAGATGAATCACTTTATATGCTTCCACCTGATGGCGTACAGGTAAAACAGGGATTTGTTTGTGCTCTGAAGAAATCCCTTTATGGTCTCAAACAAAGTGCACGGTGTTGGCACACAAAACTCACTGAAGTATTGTTTTCTCTAGGTTTTCAGCAAGGGAAAGCTGATCCATGTGTATTTGTCAAAGAGGAGGGGCAAAAGAAACTGTACTGTTTGTTTTATGTTGATGATTTATTATTCTTTTGGAAAGATGTTGCAATGTACAATAGCGCCCTAGCTCAACTGAAAGAGCACTTTGACATGAAAGATCTTGGTGAGGTAAACAACTACCTATCTCTGGAAATAGAGAGAGATCAAGATGGTAACATTCTAGTACACCAGTCACGGAAAATTGCTGATGTGTTAAGCAAACTAAATCTGATAGATGCTAACCCTGTAGACACACCGATGACAACAGGTTATCAGGTAGATGACACTGAAGAAGCATTTTCTGACACTACACTGTACAGGAGTGTGCTAGGCAAGCTAAACTTCATTGCCAGATGTTCAAGACCAGACATTGCTGTTAGCTGTAATTTGCTAAGCAGACAAGTCAACAATCCTAGTGTCAAGGATTGGAAAGCTCTGAAACGCATAGCGCGGTATTTGAAAGGCACTATGCATTACAGACTGAGATTTAACAATCAGAAGTCTGGTGGTCTTGAGATATTTGCAGATGCAAGTTTTGGAAGTGACGCTACAGACAGGAAAAGTACGTCTGGAGTTTGCTACATGTACAATCAGAGTCTGTTTGATTGGTCATGCAAGAAGCAAACAACAGTTAGCTTAAGTACTTGTGAAGCCGAACTGAATGCACTGTCTTATTCACTTAAGGATTGTGAATGGTTAGTACAATTGTGCAAAGATATGAAAATTCCTGTCAAATGTCCAATCCAGGTTTACCAGGACAACAAAGCATGTTTGGCTTTGCTGAAGTCTGAAGGTTGTAAGCAAAGCACAAAGCACTTACAATTAAAGTTGCAGCATGCTAGGGAATGTATTCAGAAGGGACTCGTAACGGTGTCCTATATGCCAGGTAATGAAATTCCTGCTGATGTATTGTCCAAGATTGTATCAAGGGATCAACACTGTACCTATGTGCAGAAGTTGGGTTTGTACTGATATTGTGCAAACACGCTGCCCAGTGATGTTCACAGAAAGGGGAGGATGTTGGTTTCTGCTTTCCTTCACTGTGCAGCTCTGCTTGTCACGAGACAGGTGTTTACATTCCACAGTCTGTACTGTTGGAGTTTCTCACGGGAAAGGGAGACTGGATGTGACGTACACTGGTTTCCTGTTTTTCACTGTGTGATTCTCTCCGAGCTGTCGAGGAGAGAGGATGCATTTTCTGCTCCGGCAGAGGCAAGATGTCTTTCTGTAATATACCAGCTTTGAACTGTAAATAAAAGCAATATAGAGTATGCAGCACATTTTCCTCATCCTTCCGCTGGGCACGAGACTCTGCTTAAATCAACAGGAGAAACCTTTTGGGAGCTGCTAGCACTGCTGGGGGGAGAATTTTGTGGAAAAGTTTATGCATCCAACTCATAAAGTGTTGTTAGTGATTTCAAATGGAGTGAAGTTTACATTCCTTGATTTATGAGCCCTGGTCCTGATAAAGCCATGTAACTGTGTAGTTTTATGATGTATTCATATATCACTTCTCCCTTACAATGGAACACATTCTATTGCCATCCAACACAGAAAAATAAAAGAAATTGCATACGTGTCCTGTGTACTGCTCCTAATTTACACTTCAACCAAAATTCTCATTGAAAAAATCACAGCACTGAATTCCTTGCCTTGCGAAGTGTACCTATCTCTGACTATTCCTATTTCTGACTATTCCCATTTCTGTTTCCTTACCTCAGTTTGAACTTCTGATCATCTCCTTTAGTCATTTCAGCTTCTATCCAGTTTCAAAATTTGGGGGGGGGGGGAATGTTGTGGTATGGTTCTCATTGAGCAGTACCATCTCAATATGCACATGAGGGATTATATGAATGCAGGCCTCATGTCAAAATTTCTCTGCATGCTGAAATCTTCCATTTCAGGAAGATGTCCATCTAAATGTGCAATGTGGAGTGCTACTAGCCTAGGCAACAGTGGCACAAAGCTTTCGAAATGTTTGAATGGGCTCCAACTGGTAATTTGCTATGTGCATTCTGTAATTGAAAAAAGAAAGATAGTGTAATTTCTGTCTTTCACTGAAATAAAGCATGTGAAGCTTCTGTAGCCAGGAGCGCTTATGCCCAGCAATGCCTGGTTCATCAGAAATAGCTATTTCTCAGTCTATACACAGTTCAAGCTACAGTAGTGTGTGACATAGTAACCTCTTGCTTAGACTACTACAATGCACGCGATATGAGGTTGTCCTTGAAGTCAGGTTGAATGCTGTAAACTAATGCAGAATGTAGTAGCCGGGTTGTTAGCTGGTGCCACAAACAGGATTGCGAGTCACCAAATCTCAAAGCTCTAAACTAGTTGGCTGTTTGCTATCAGGTCCAATCTAAGGTATTGGATTTATAAAGCTCTATGGAGCTTAGGGCCTGAGTGTTAGAAAGAGTGTCTCTCCAATTACCTGCCAGCCCAGATGGCAAGATCTGCTGAAGAGGTTTTGCTTGTAGCTCCAACAACAACTGAAGTCCTCTGTGTGACAGCACAAAGCAGAACCTTCCCTACTTCGGCACTCCAGATGTGGAATACCTTCCCATTGAAATGGCTTTCCTTCATGTTAACTTTTATTCAGATGTTCAGTTTAAGATAAGATCTCTGTCTGATGTACAGAGATAACTGAATTTAAAACTGGAATTTTTCCTGATGCCTGTCGTTTTATTATGTTTACAATTTTTATTGTTTTTATGACAGTGGGTGATATTGTCGTGTGTATTTAGGTGAGTTGTTTGGGAACCTTTGGGTTGATGCATGGGTTGCAGTGGCCACATTTAATGGAAAAAAGTTCCACTGATAGCCATTTTTTAAAAGAGTTTGGGATATTATCAAAGCAGTTTGCTATGTAACACATGTGTGTCTGTGATGCACATAATAACCAGCAAACCTGCATTGGGTCCATGCATGCCCTAATATGCACAAGATGATGCATACTGACAGGTCAAAGAGGCTTAGATGAGTAGCATGACACAGCAGGGCAAAAGATGCAGAAGGCTCTTTTTGCATGCAGATCTCCCTTACTGTAGCTTTTGGCAGAATGGCCAATATGCACAGGTCTGGTGTGTTACTATGATTATTACAGAAAGAACCACAAAGAAAAAGGAAGAAATGAAATAAAAGCATGATGCAGACCCTGACTTACATGAAAAGAATACCAAAATACTTTTGGTCAGGTCTGGGAGAAAAATAATATATATTAATCCAGCACAATTCAATACATTTGAACTTCCTGTGAGAACTGATGTTCCTTTTGTTTGAAAAGCAAAGACAGCCATGAATAATGCCTAAGAGAAAAATTGGACCACAAATAAATGGCTTTTTAACATGTGACCTTTGATCTCAATTCCAGTTCCCCAGAGGCCATCTTTGCATTCTTCTCAAGTATTGTTCTCTCAGATGACTAATGTGGATAAAAGGACTGAAGGAGGAACCTCTGCTTCAGCATGGGACCTTACAAGGATTCTTGATGCTGGAGAAGTCAAAGGTGGCATCTGTCTGAATATCCATTTTAAATTAATACAATGGAGGTCACTAGTAGTGACTCTTGGAACCAGAGAGTGAGCTACACAACTGAACACCTAATTTAATCAAGGCAATTGTTAGAGGAAGTACTTGATCTTCACCAATCCATTAATTTTATTTCAGTGAACAGCACAATGTATTTCAGATCAAAACACTGAATAGTAAGTTGTTTGTTTGGTTTTCCCTGGTGAACTTATGGTATTGGTCAAAATGTGAAATATGTTGGAATCTTAGTATGTAACAGATATTTGATTCCTGATGGAGCTGTTTTTAATAAAGCAAATACATGTAGACAATACATATTACAGGGAAGCTTGTTTCTGTGAATTAAATATAATATAATATTTCTTACATCACATTATTCCTTGAAAAGCTTAGATGCTAATAATTGTTTATTGATGCTCAAACACTGATCAAGTTCAGACCCGAAATAGGCCTCAGTAATGTAATATAATAATCAATAAAAATTAATACCTTATAAATGTAACAGTTCAATGCTAATTCTCCCAAGCACTCAGTTCCACAGTCTTGCTATGCTAGAAGAACCCAAGGAATCTCTTGTACAGAAAGGGCAGTGCAAAACGATGAAACTCTTTAGTACCAGACTCTGCAGTGCCTTCTATTTACATTTAAGACAAGCAATATAAATTTGGTTAGTGATGGCATGTCGTAGGAGCAGGACACCTAGAAACTATAAAACTCTACTCTGCCATTTCAGTGGCATTACAGACAAGGATGCTTACATAACCGTTTAGGAACAGGGGCGAAGTTGGAAAAGAAGAATGACTTAAATATTTATTGCCACATAGACTGATACTGAAAGGTATGAAAAAACTTCAAAAGATTTCCAGGTATTAAAAATAGCTCATCAGGGGAAGGGATCCCTAAATAACAAGAAATTTATACAGGTACGTATGATAAATATATTTGACCATAAGCCGGGGAAAAATAAAATCCAGAGTGAACAGCACTTGTATAGAAATGTCATATGTAGATTTGTCTGGACCCTAGGTCATGCCCAAAGCTATGTCTTAGATCAAATGGTACCATATATGAGTGGAAAGGCATTTCTGCTTTCATAAGGGGAATTAATTTCCCCAAACACCCATAGTTGCAGCCCCTCATGCAGCATCAAATGCATTCCAGACTTACAATTCCCTGGAGAGGGGGCTGTATCCAGAGCAAAGACATGGAAATATATTCTTGGTCTCTCTAATTAAGAATTTTCAACAAAAATCACAGTGACTGACAAGCCTGATTTATGTAATTTGAAACTGATATGAAATGTAATATTCATTTAGAATATGCATAATGTTTAGTATATCTTAAGCCATGAAATAAAACACTTCTTAAAACATAACTGGTTGATATTAATTTTGCTTTTGTACTTGCACACATTCTCTAGTACATACCAATTTATCAATTTACTCATAAATCACAAATGAATGAAATATTGACAGTGAAGATCTGCCTATTTTATTGTACCGATAAAATTTCACAATGATTATTAGTGTTAAACACAATCAGGTATTAGAAGTTGCTGCAGAAGTATCCTATGGAATGAAAGCTAAACAGAGCACTGCAATTATTTAAAAACCTTGTGAACTTGTTTTCTCAAACCTGCCATTAGCTGCAACTAATGGCTGATTCCTTCCAACTCAGCATTGCTTTTTAAGTCTCACATGGTAACAATGGCTCATTACACGCCTCCATCAGCAAACTCACCAGTGTCCTTGAGAACAATGAAGGTTATCAGAGGAATATGCACAAATCCTAGTCACACACCCTTATTTAGTCAATGAATGCAAGACGTGTTTGTGTATGGATTATGTTCAACTGGCACTTCTATTTGTAGCCACACAAAGAGGCAGCTTGCATTTCCAGCCATTATATTTTTTTCTAAACAGAGCCAAAGATCAGGGAAAGAAATTAGCCTGTCTTACTAATGAGGGTATGGATTGCTGACAGGTTAACGCAACCACTTCTAAGAGAAAATAGATAATCTTAAAACAGCAAATGCAAACTCTCAGCCTATTTTTGGTCGCTTTATCATAGCACTGTAATGTTAACTTTTAAAAGAGGTTGCTACAATGCAATATGATGTATTTCAAAGAATAGTTTGTTGCAACAAAGTTTTCCTCAGCTTTACTGAAATACTTCTGGCACAATTATAAATACACCTACAAATATTCTCAGTTTCAGAGAAGATGCTTACTGTATTGAAAATAAATGGAAAAAAACTTAGGCTTTGTGCATTAATCTCTTCCACTAACCATTTCATGGAGTATCATGATGAACCTCTGGGTGAATTTTCCTTGAAAAATATTTTCCATTCCCAACATATTACAAGGATAGAATGAAGGAAGTCGACTTCCTCCTAATCTAGCCAACACACAAAAACAAAGAAACTCTGAAGTGAGTGTGAAAAAGATTAAATCACAGAACTGAACATTATTCTTATAACTAGCATCTGAATTGCCATGATCTCTGGGAAATACATTGCCATTATTGAGCATGTAGGTCCATGTTATTTTTAGTAATTTAGAGAGGCAAGTTAGGCTGCTAATGTAATTCTAGATAGCACAACTGAATTCCACACTGTCCTCATGCTTCAAATCACACCAAGATTACCGTTGTGGGAGACTGCAAAGGTCTGAAGGGTGCTGAAAAAGATACAAAGTGGTATGGAAGAATCTCACTGACGTTATGCTCAGGGCTGTACAGACAGAGCATTCCATTCTTGTTCTATTGTTACCCCTGAATGTTCTACAGATGGCAGGAAACC